ACAACTTATAAGAAAATTTTATATAATTAATGTTTGACATAAATATTTTTTTAATACCTACGCTATTATATAGTCAACTGCATCAAGACATGTGCTTCTTGCTAGTATTAAATTTAAGAGACCCATTCCTTGCAGCTATTTTTACCTCTATTATGATGTCATCGTTTAGCAATTTTATAATTAAAAAGGTACGTTACGGAGCACGAGTATGTAAAAAAAAAAAGATGAACCGCATCCTTAGTGGCCCCCACCTGTCCTGCCCTGAGCCTTGGTGAAGGAGGTAAATCGCATGTTATGCCTCTACGGGTACAGGGTGGAAGGTTACTTGTACACTTGCACTTACCCAAGAACCAAATCCATATTTCAGGATTCGAACCCTTGACGCGACAGCCTCAAACAAAGTTGGATTTTTTCCACCTTCCCCTTTTACCACTTGGAGATGTGCTCTGAGGGCACGCGTATGTACTTCAAAGGAGTCTCAAGAACCACTTACAATGTTTGAGAATTATGATTCAAAATTGGCCCTCAAACTAACTAGGTGAAATGGGTCAACCTCAAATTTTTTTCTAGCAGATTTATAATGGGAACAACACTCATTTAAGGTAGTTAGAACATACAAATTGGGATAATTGTAGCGGCGGTCCCAAACCGTTGAGCTTTTTGCAAATTTTACCTTAATTTTTACTTTGTGTCACCTACAGACTCAAACCTTTCATAAATTCGCACATGAGGTCCAAATGTATGAAACGACCGTTAGTTGACCAATAAATTTGACTTTGACCAAATTTAGACCATTTTTAAAGGGTAAAATTGTAACTTTGCATTTTATACATAAAATAAGTTAAAAAATGAAAAAAAAACATATGAAAAAACAAAAAATGAGAAAAAACATATAAACTCCCCACCCTGCTCCACCCCTATCCCAATCAAAACCAAAAAATCACACTGCCATCACCCACCACCACAACAACTCTCCTTAGCCACCACCAAACCCACATAGCCCACAACTCCCTTTACCCAAACCAACTGTCCACCCTTATTTACCTAACCCCATGGAGGGAACTTTAATAGACTCTATTGTTGTCGATAATTCAACGTGAGTAAGGGTAAATTGCAATAAGTTTTAACTAGGTTTTTTGCATTGTCAAAAGTTTTCGATTTTTACACCACAATGGCAACTAATGATCACTAATTTTTTCTATTGAATCTTGAACTTTCTACCATTTTTTGTTGCAAATTCACGGTGTCTACCACTAGCCAAAGCTGATGTTGTTTTACTATCGACTGCCATTTTGCTCAGAGTTACCGTCATTTTGCCGTGGCTATTTTTCTTGGGGTGCGGAGATGAGTAATGAGTTAGTTTCTGTTTTTGGGGAGAAAATAATAGCATGACAAGTGTGCTTTCAAGATTTGTGAATGGACGGGATGGACACGTTGGTAGCAATGTGGGCCGATGGTGACTGAGGGGAGTAGTTGTGGTGGTGGGTGGTGGCAGTGTGGTTTTCTAGTTTTGATTGAGGTGCTTATTTTATATATAAAATGCAAAGTTATCATTTTCTCTTTTAAATTTTTTTAAAAATTTGGTTAAAGTAAAATTTATTGGTTAAAAATGATCAAATTTCATCCATTTAGACTTCAGGTCACAAAGTGAAGGTTATGATAAAGTATGCAAAAAACTTAAAAGTTTGGAACAGCTGCTGCAATTATCCCCTATACAAATTTTATTAATTTAAATTTTTTATTAATTAAATATATTAAGGTCACAATACTATACAATATATTATTATAGTTACTTACTAGTCACAACCCTTGTTTGAGCCCCATTCGAGAGAAAAAAAAAAGGTCTTTTTGAACAGTGATTTTTAAAGAATGTGTGGTTAAAAATTAAGATTTTTTTGATTTACGTGTAATATTATTTTATTGACAATGTGTTATTGAAAATGAATTTTGAAAAAATAAATTTTCCAAAAAAAGAGGCTCAAACAACCCCACAATAAGAAAACATCACAGTTACAAATTACAAATTTTATAAGTCACACCTTCTTTATGTATAACATGTGATCAAATTAATTGATTACGAATTATTTCTTAGACACAATCACAAATTTTATAAGTCATAATTTATTTATCGATTACAAATTATCAAATTAATAGGTCGTGTATTATTTATTGATCACAAATTACAAAATTTAAATATCACAACTTATTTCACAGTTACAAATTATTAAATTAATTGATCAAAAGTTATTTCTACATCACAAATAATCAAATAAATTGATCACAACTTAACAACAAATTAGTCACGATTACAAATTCAGTCAAAATATCACAATTTTTTAGGTTACATATTATTTATTGATCATAAATTAATTCAGTTTATTGGACACAATCATCCAAAATCTCACCCCCACTACCACACCAATCGAACCACGCACCACCACCGTCAAACCACCACCACATGTACTACCGCCATTTGTGACCACCACCAGAACTACCACCACTACTATCAACACCACCACTACCAATTGTAAAACACCAACACCACTGTACAAAATTATCCCAAAATTCTGACTAAGTAGCGGATAATATTAGAAAATCACCTATAATGCAAACCACATACTAGAGATCTAATCAAAAAACCACCAACAAACTCCATCTAACCACTCATAGTGTTGTGTGGCACCGCACGAGGCATCGTTGCATGAGGCGTTGCACGCATAATAGAGTCCGAGCATAATAATCGAATTGATTATCTTCATCCACAAGGATATTAGATTATCACGGAGGGTGAGTTAGGGCCTAAGATCAAGCCAAAAGGCGTAGTCAATGGACAATATGTGAATATTCTTGTACTACCCTTTGAGGAAGTGCATATCTTACCTAGATTTTCTTCCATAATGGTACTGAATAATAGTCCCATTTGGGTATATCTGTATCAGATATTTCTACAATTGGTTTGCCATTTCCATGAAGTATATAACTGACAACTCGAAGTCGATGCTGCGTGAAGCGATATCTCGTTGCATGCAGCATCCGTAAAGAGAGAGAGAGAGAGAGAGAGAGAGAGAGAGAGAGATCGTGAACTTGGATAAAGAGGCAGAATAAAGATGATACAAAGAAATAAGAAAGAGGGAAATGAATTAGGGCTTGAGAATGTTATTAGATGGTGTGAATGAGACGTGAGCTGGTATCTAGTTTAATTTAATTTTATAACATTATTAATAATATTTAAATTTTAATTTTTTACCTGATTTTTTAAGAAAATTTTTTAAACTTGATTTTTGAATTGAAAAATTAAATATCTTCACTTTTATAAATTAGAAGGTATGCTACATAGTACACGTAAGTACTTCAAAACAGCTTCAACAATCTTTTATAATGTTTGAGTATCATAATTCAAAATTGATCCTCAAACTAACTCGGTGAAATGGGTCTACCACAAGTCTCTTCTTCAATTATTATTATTATTAATTTTTTTTTTGTCCCGGGGGTGTTGGGCGACCTGAGCTCGTCCATAAATCCTCATATGGCCATCTTTTGGTTTGTACTCAGCCCCCGTTTATTTCTCATTTTTCATCCATAAAAATGAAAAATATGATCGTTATCTATTATATCAAATCATCAATTTTGAATTTCTATCTGTCAAATAACGACTACATTTTCATTCTCATTCTACAATAAAAATGCATTTCAGCCTTTATCCATAAAAATGAAAAATATGACCGTTATCCATCAAATCAAGTCATCAATTTTGAATTTTTATCTCTTGTGTGGAGCCCAATAACGACTATATTTTTCATTCTCATTCTACAATAATGAAAATCAAACGGGCCCTGAATATAAAACAGAGGCTTTGAAACTTTCTCTTTAACAAATAGGAAGTCATATCAATATCGTATGTTTGCAATATTGGTTTGGTAAAAAAATCCACACTAGATTTTTTGTGTTTTTTCTCTTCAACTTCAATATGAATCTTATATTTAAGGGCCAACTTGCAGGGCTACCACCTGCTAACGAAAAATGTGGTGAGAAATTTTTTTGTCGTTAATGGTTTTGATTGCGGTGTACTACTTGTATCGCTAAACTTGTCTTTTCATCTAATTTACGTTAATTTTAACATAAAATTGGACGGAAATCGTCTGTGAGGACTTTTTGTGCTCCCAGTTTGAAAGGTTTAAGAAGAACTTGCTATATTTAGTAAGTTGAGGACTAATTGCTACCTATGATAAGTTGAGAACCAAGTTACTACCTTTCACAAGTTGAGGAAACTTGCTACCTTTCGCTAGTTAAGGACCAACTTGCTACTATGTTAACAGATTGAGGATAGAACTTTACAATCTTTCTTAATAGTTCAATCAATTCACTGGAATGTTTAAATCGATCATATTCTTTATTTGTGTCCTTTCTTCAGTCTCAAACTTGCCTTATATTTGACCGTTAGGGGGAAAAAAAAGAAGAAAAAAACCCACCCCAAAAATGCATTATAAGCTACAAATCTCTATTTATTACTAAAACAAAAACAAGAAGAAATCACAATCCCACCGCTCGACGCACACAAATTCCGCATACAGTATTTCTAGGGTTTTTCTAACTTACCCATAAAATTCAACTTTTTCCCATATTTACTACTTTCTGGGTTATTTTTTTTTCATTTATTCGATTATAATTTTCGTAGTCCAATTAATAGTTCTTTTGCCCCTTTCTCTGTCCAAATTAGCCACCCAAATTACACCTTTTTCTTGAACAGGACTCTCTTTGGTTATATGTTTTTTTTCCTGAATAATTCGAAATTTCAGATTTTTAGTTTTCTTGAGGTTTAATTTTGCAAGTTTATGGGTGAACCGAATTGGGTTTTTGTGGGTTTTGCTTTCTTGGTTTTGTGCTTCCAAAGGCATGAACTTTGATAGGCTTTAGGTGTATTTTAAGTGAAAATAAATTAATTATCTCTCACTTTTGTTTTCCCAAAAGAAAAATAATTCTTCTGTGCTTTAAAGTGAAAGATGAAAGCAGAGAAGCCTGTTTGGGTAAAGCATGGAGGGACGCAGATTTTCTCGGTCGATATACAGCCTGGTGCCCTCAGGTTTGCCACTGGCGGTGGTGATCACAAGGTATCTTTTTTCTTCTTCCATTTTAATACTCTCAAATTTTTTGTTTTGCAATTCTGGAGATTCGAACAATCAACATTCAGTTATGAGAGGCTAAAAGGATTTTGTGCATAAATCATGAAATTGTGCCTTATATGCAACCCAGATTCAGGAACCTTAAGTGTCATTTAAATTCTAGATATGCCTGAACTGTACTTGAACCAATTTATTTTTTGCGATGTAGTTTTTGTTATCTGTCACTTTTATAGGTTTTTAGCATCAACCATCAGGAATAGGTTCCCTCAGCAGATATCCTAAAGGATATTTTCTAGTCTCTAGATATTAATGAATTTACAAACACTGCATTGTATGCGTGGAGGCTTACGTAGAAGACCAAAATCCAGTGTTTATCATAATTTGGTCTCATTTCTTATAGAACAAAAAAATTTCTCATTTACGTTGCAGGTTCGCATTTGGAACATGAAATGTGTTGGCAGGGAATCGCAAGCTGATAATTCAACACCCAAACTTCTGGCGACTTTGCATGATCATTTTGGGTCAGTTAATTGTGTTAGGTGGGCCAAGCATGGTCGATATATTGCATCGGGATCTGATGACCAAGTTATTCTTGTTCATGAGAGGAAGCCTGGTTCAGGAACCACAGAGTTTGGTAGCGGAGAGCCACCAGATATTGAGAATTGGAAAGTTTCTATGACATTGAGAGGGCACACTGCTGATGTGGTAATATCATCGTCTATTTAGTATTAGATAAATTTATGACATTTTCGCTTACCATATTAATAAACACGTTGATCGTACCATGGCTGCTGTAACCAAGGAGTTGTTTTTGTTCCATGCATAAAGTAGGTGGATCTTAATTGGTCTCCGGATGACTCAATATTGGCTAGCGGGAGTTTGGATAACACAGTTCATATTTGGGACATGAACAATGGCATCTGCACAGCTGTTCTTCGGGGTCATTCCAGTCTGGTCAAAGGTGTGGCATGGGATCCCATTGGTTCATTCATAGCAAGTCAATCAGACGATAAGACTGTCATTGTTTGGCGAACAAGTGACTGGAGCCTTGCTCATAGAACTGATGGTCACTGGGCAAAATCTGTATGTCAAGAAATTACATTGAATTATCTATTGTTTTTCGTTGTTTCCTTAAACATTGTTGATGACTTTTATGTATTTCCAGCTAGGATCCACCTTCTTCAGGCGACTTGGATGGTCACCTTGCGGTCATTTTATAACCACAACTCATGGTTTTCAAAAACCAAGACATTCTGCACCTGTTCTTGAGAGAGGGGAATGGTCTGCCACTTTTGACTTCTTAGGACACAACGCTCCTATTATTGTTGCTAAGTTTAACCATTCTATGTTTAGAAGGAATTCTTCCAATGCTCAGGACTTAAAATCTGCTTCTCTTGGGTGGAGTAATGGTTCTTCAAAGATTGAAGGGAAAGATTTACAGCCATATAATGTTATTGCAATAGGAAGTCAGGACCGCACCATAACCGTGTGGACAACTGCAAGTCCCCGTCCTCTCTTTGTGGCCAAGCATTTCTTTTCTCAAAGTGTAGTGGATCTATCCTGGTAAGTTCTCTTCAGAGTCTAAAGTATTTCACCCCTGAGTGCACTCAAGATGCATGCTTAATTTGCTTCTTCCTCGCCTCCTATCTTTATTTACTTTTTCTTACTTGTGAACTTGGTCTTCTGAATGCAGGAGCCCTGACGGATATACTTTGTTCGCGTGTTCTTTGGATGGCACAGTTTCTACCTTTTATTTTGATGTAAACGAACTCGGATATAGGTTAAGTGATGCTGAATTAGAAGAGCTAAAGAGAAATCGTTATGGTGATGTAAGGGGTCGGCAGGGAAACTTGGCTGAAAGTGCAGTGCAGCTGTTACTTGAAGCGGCATCTGCAAAGCAAACCCCGAGCAAAAAGTTGGTTCCAGTCAATCAGGCATCTCTGAAAGCTTCTACTAATTTAGAGGTTACGACAAAGATTAAGAAGGCTCATGCGAATGTTGGGAAGAATACTGAGGGATCTGTTAGTGATGGGACAAATAAATTGGCTTCTTCTGCTCGGATGTCAAGTCCTGTGAAGCAAAAAGAGTATAGGCGACCTGATGGTCGAAAAAGGATAATACCAGAAGCAGTTGGAGTGCCTGCCAAACGTGAAAGAATTTCTGTTGATGCTCGATGTGATGCCTCTGAATTTCCTGCGAAGTCTTTAGATCACAAAAAGGTTGATAACAAGGTAATACATACTGATGGTGGTGCTAGAGAAGAATCCATGAGGAAAGCAGCAAGCGGGAGTGCTGATTTGAGGGAGCGATCTGATGCCACAGCTAGAGTGACCATTACTGAGAGCCTTGTCGTTGAGAAGGTTTCAGAACCTCTTGGTAAAGAAGGACTTGCTAATGTTGAACAGACAGGCTATGTTACTTCCAGTAGTACTCTTTCAATTAGCGTAATTGATCAGAAAGAAGGGGGAGACAGAATTCCAGTTGACTTGGAAGCTCGTCCAAGAGAACATGCAGTAAATGACATTGTAGTGCCTGGAAGTACTTTCACGATGAAAGAAACAGAACTTTCTTGCACAAGAAGGTCGCAAACTCTTTGGTCTGATAGGATTTCTGGAATGGTCACTGTTTTGGCTGGAAATGCTAACTTTTGGGTTGTTGGCTGTGAAGATGGATGCCTGCAGGTTTGTCTAATACATTTCAGCAGTTTCTAGTTATAGTGATTATGAATAAATTTTCTAAAAACATGCTGTTTATTTCGTTCCAACTGATGATAAGCCTTTATCTTTTTCGAACTCTCGAGTTCATAGTATCCATAACTAAAACATTTATTTTTATTAAACAATCTGAAAATCATCCTTTAAATTTTGTGTTATTTCTCCTGGTGTCAAGAAGTGCAATCTGAGACTTTTTACCGTCCTCACTTAAAATGTATGCCAGATTCAGTTGGATATAATCTATTTTCCCAATTTCTCTTCTTTTTATCGTTCACTGCTTTTAATGATAGTAATTCTGGTTTTCTATTTGCGTGTTGCTGTTAGTTTGACCACATTTTGTTTCATATTTGTTGTGTATCTGCACTATATAACTCATTAAGTGTTTGTTTGAGAGAGCTAAAAAGGTGAATTCGATAAAAATGAGTGGTTGAAAAATGGGTAGTTATTGTGGGTCTTGAGTATGTGTGAAAAAAAATTAATTGTTGACTTTGACCTCAACTTTTTGGAAATTTTTAAGTTTTTCCAAACAAGCATTGTGATGACGACTTGATAAAAGTTGCCCCTGGTTACTGTGCTTGGTAAGTTGTACAAAACTACTTAAAATTTAGGCTGAATTGAATTTCTTTATTCACGGACAATCAATCTTATATATAATGTTACAATCCCAAGGTATACCTGACTATAGAAGGAATCGGGGAAAAGGGAAATATAATATTCGTACCACTATATTAATTCCTAATTAAACCACTATATTTAAATTGATTTTCATTAAGAGTGATTTATCTGTGATTAGCAGTTTTAACACTAAACTTTGGATAATTGTAAAATTTATAGACTTCCTACAACCAAGTATATTTTTACTTGATTTGATTTCAAATGTTTGTCTGTAAGAAGGTATACACAAAGTGCGGGAGACGTGCTATACCGACCATGGTGATGGGATCTGCTGCAGTTTTTATTGATTGTGATGAATCTTGGAAGTTGTTGCTCGTCACAAGGAATGGATCCTTGTATGTATGGGATCTTTTTAACAGGGAATGTCTCCTACATGACACGTTGGCTTCACTTATAACTCCAAATTTGAAGTCAAGTTCTAAAGATGCTGGTAAGCTATGATGTCTGTTAATTTAGGGGTATTTGACTTTTTCAATTTTATGTAATATTTAACAATTCGTGCAATTGCTAATCTTTACTTTCAATTTTTTTGTCCCAGAGGTTGATGAATGAATATCTTTTCTTTTTCGTTCTTCCAGGCACAATCAAAGTCATATCTGCAAAATTATCAAAATCTGGTTTTCCCCTTGTGGTTTTGGCTACACACCATGCCTACGTCTTTGATATGAGCCTCATGTGTTGGCTGAGAGTTGCAGACGATTGTTATACTGCATCAAATTTCTCAAGCTCTTGGAACTTCAGTTCAGCTCATGGTGGTGAGCTGGCTGACTTGCAGATTGATGTTAGGAAATTTCTGGACAGGAAACCAGGATGGAGCAGGTCTATATGCATTCTGAATCCTGCAATTTTTAAATAATTTCTCAAAGATACAACTTTAGTGACAGAATGAAACCTTGTAATCTTACCTTACATTATTTCCCTTTTCTGAAATCCACCTAATATCAAATACTTGGAGCTGGTTTTATGAACAATTTTTCAAGAATATCATATGCTTTTACCTTATTCCTGGCCACTAGCTTGTGTTGGGATGACTATTTGTCATGAGATCGGCAAGGTTTCCTAATTCTGTCCTGTAAAGTTAATAATATTTAAAGTTAATTCTTCCATATTAAGTGATTTTTTTTTCAAATGCCCTAATCTTTTACACACATCTGGATTGATGCTTGTGCAGAGTAACTGATGATGGACTGCAGACACGTGCTCATTTGGAAGCTCAATTGGCATCTGCAATAGCTTTGAAGTCTTCTAGTGAATATCACCAATGTCTTCTGTACTATATACGCTTTTTAACAAGGTGTGTTTATTCTCCCTTGTACTGGGTTTTTCATATTTTTGTCTCTTCGCAATACCGGCCTTCAATTTTAAACTTCAATGCACGGAAACTTATAGAAATGGATTTTCGTGTCTGACTGCTCGGACATAACATGGCTCTTGGACACTTCTGAGACTTGTATTACGAATGTTTCCAAAACATCAATTAGAGAGAAATAATTTACACACATTTCATACTGATTAGAGGCACTATAGGAAGCATGGACACACACTGGCATTGGCAAGTCGGTGTCTGTCATATATCAGACACCAGCACGCCCCTGACAGATCACTGCCATGTACTAGAAACTCTAGGCTGTATGTTCATTTTTCAGTTTTCTAGCTTCCGGAAATGTCACCAACACTGTAGATGATTACCGACACGCTTTGTCTTTCAATATAATAAAAAAAAGGAGTGGATGTCGTAGAGAAAAATAATCACCAGCTTAGTTAATCTTCAAAATCAGACAGGTTCTTTCATCTGATGTTGTAGATATTCGTTGAAACGCCATAGATTGTTGTGTCCGCAGTTGGGTGTTGGGCTTCAAGGTTGGTCAGTCGTGACGGCTTTTGGTGCATCTAAAAACCTAGTCGATGAAAATCAGAAAATCAGCTCTCTTTTCTATTTTAACTCGCTGTCTTTTATTGTCTTAAGAATAAGACAATGTTTTCTCTTATTGATTGTGTCGTCAATTGTGGTAATGAAGGAAAGGGGTCAATAATCAGTCTTTTTGTCCTTTTCAAAATGTAGGTCACTTTTTGAACTTTAAAATTATCATTTTACCCCAAATTCAATTATAAATGAAAGATCTTTGCAGATTGCTTTTCCTTCCTTCTTCTGCAATTTAGAAGAAAGTTCAATTTTATTGCTTACATTGTATAAGTGGAAAGTGTAAATAAAAATAAAGATTTAACAGTATTTGAAAATTTTAATCAACTTGTCCGAGACGGTGGTGTTGTGTTATATTATTAATTTTTTGAAAAATCGTATCTGCATGTCCATGTCGTGTCCAGTGTGTCCGTATTCGTGCTTCCTTGGGAGGCACTATATGTATCATGGTCGATCACTAACATGTAAATCTATTTTACCTATAATTATGACGTAATAATGCACTTCCATATATCGTCTATACACATATTGCGAACTTCACTATTATTGTGACATCTTATTATCATAAAGAGTTAATTCATGTTTCCTTTACTTGGAACTATTAAATATTTAATAGGCCTAAATTATGAGATAAAATTTATCTTTAGTTCATGTTTTTTGGTTGTGTCATGTCGAATTTATTTGGAAAATTGCCTTGCCCATATGTATGTATTATGATGTGCCCATATTTTTGTAACCTACTTTAATGATTAAAAAAAAAAAAAAACCAACCGAAACTCGTCTCTAGGCTCGCCTCATAGTAAGGTGTGCATAAAACACCTCAAGGTACTGTTTGTGAGGTAGTTTTTAAGGCGTATGCCTCAGTTGTGAAATGCATCCCTCACAACCCTATTTCAAGGATTGTGGACCACAAAACATAAAAAATTTGATTGGTCCATTTTGAGAATAACTACTACCCACTAAAATATAAAAAAAAATAACAATAATAAATCTCGTAGACCCACATTGGGAATAGTCCAATGCCCCACAACTAAAATATTAGTTCATTTTAAATTTTTCTTTTGTTTGTTTGCACACTCTAAATTGTTTTGAATTTTAATTACCTTTTAGGTTACAATGAGGCTCGTGCCTTTTTAAACGTTTCATATTTGTATGCTACCTAAATTGTATGTCACTTTCCTTCTAGTGCTTGTGTTCGTGCATTTATAATCATTGTTTTTATAGATATAAATTTACATAAAGACAATCTTTTGTGGAAAACATAAATAAATAATTCCTTTATTCACTAGTGATCTTAAGCTTTTTGATGAATTTATCATTCAATAGAAATGTGAGCAAATAAAGGGTTTGAGTTTAAGTGTTGCCACAACCTCGTTATGGAAACTCTTCACGTGATGGACAGCCTACACGGCTCCTAGGCAACCACCCCTTCTCACGGGTTGGCAAGCATAATTCATAGTAAACGTACAGTATTTTAGTTAGAAAACTTGCAACTCTGCCTTCATATAATAACGATGTCAATGTACTTTATTGTAATTTAAGTCATAAATGAGCTGTTAGCAATCTTGCCGCGCCACATGGGTAGGAGAGTTCTCTATGCACATGACAAGCTCACCCACTCAATCCGCTAAAACTCTCATAGCGAATCTTGTGGTCTCATCTTAATGCAACCTTTGCATTGCATTATCCTTCACGCTAATGGGTATGAAAATTTCTCCACAATTGCAGCATTGTCCCCTAGTGGACGGACATCCACTCAGTGCCTCTCGCACATCGGCATGTTATACCTTAGTACATACCATCTCCGACACCAACCTTTACCCTATGCCCTTGCATTTGTTCCTTGGATGGACATCCCTTGCCATAGCGATACTACATGTAGCACTCACAATAATTGCCCCTCGTGTTTTCCTCTACAATGTTCACCTCACTCTACGAAACAAATAAACATGTAGATAGGCTTAATTGCACTACATTTGCCTATAGCTTCCATCATTCCCAAAGTTTTCGTCATCAATTCTGCTCACTTGCCAAACGCTTTTCCGCATATCTCGTGGTTGTGCCGCATCTTTCACGGTCCCAAAATTGTTTTCGTTGAAACACACGCCATTAATCTCTCGCAACCAACAACATAATGTTCAAGCGGGCTCGTACCATGTGTCACGGGCTTAGAGTTTTCCCAACGAACTGCTCGCACCTTGTGGCCTTAACTATTCAAAGTTTTAGCCCATCGCAGGAATTACACTAAGTGAGTCTTTCACTCGCGAATTTAACCTTTGAGGTTAAATGTTACAGGACTTTGAGCTCAAGGAAAATATGGACTGCAATTTAATTTTTTGAGGTTAAAATGTAACTTACTTTGAGCTCAAGGAAAATATGGAGAGAATGTAGAAGAATATGAGCAAAACAAAGTTTGGGGAGAATCTGCCTTTATAACTCGAACAGAAATCTTTTCAATCCACAAGTGTTTATCCTCACTTACCTCTTTGATTTACAGTGAACTATACAAGGGTATTTATAGACAAATATATGCAAGAAAATTCAAATGAAGGGCCAGGATCTATTTGATCCAATGGCCAGATGCTTTTTGCCATCATGACCCACTCCTCAAAACTGCCTTGAGCATTCCCCGAAACCTGCCACTGTTGATGCCCATTTTTCTTGCTTCCAAAATGGTGGTTTAGGGTTTAAGGTATTAGGATAAGAGATAGAAAATTAGGATATTGTGTCTGGTGTGCTCTTTATTCCTCGTGTCATCACTGCATGGCTGCAGGCATGGACTGAGTCACTGTACTAGTGTTCATCATTATTTTTGTGGCTAAAATTGTGGTTTGAAATATACTTTAACTTGTGCGCTAATGATTTTTAACAACTAAGTGAGCATGAAAAATAAGATTGAAGAGAGCTGAGAAGTGGCTGTCGTCATATGAGGTGCTCACTGATCCACAATGGATTTCTTCTTCAATAATCAAAAGTTAATAGGAACAAACGCTGCACTAAAATTAAGGGGGAAAGCAGGATACTTACGGCTGCAATTTGATTATAATCAGATGATTAAACCAGCAGTTCTGGGAACATAGATTCAAAGGGACAAATGAGACCCTATTGCAGTCAGTTTATAGTAAACAAGGGAAATTGATTGTTACATTTAGCCTACAAAATATATTGTACATCAACCATCATTTGAGAAGAAAATAATTATAACATTAAATGAATGGTGAGATAGGAGTGATTGTTATTTCTGTTTGAGAAGGTACCATGGGTTTGGTTTTTGCCAATTCAAGGGGTAAGTAAGTTTGGTTTAAAACGTTCTGAGGCAGTTTGATAACTATCTAATATAGGTGTTAAAGTGAAATGATGCAATCTACAAAGAGGGGGGCATGGATTTAAGGCTTCTAGGTATCATCTGGAGACTGAAAACAACTTCTAGCCTAACTTTGGCCAAAAAAAAAACCCAGTTTTTGGTTCAAAAGAGTCAGTTCTGGATGAAAGATCCACTTTTTCGAGCAAAAACGAGCATCTTAGTAAAACTCAGTGCAAAGCCTCTGGGAGCTTGCACTTTTTGGCGGCTTCCATTGTTTAGGTGGTCAAAGGTTTTATTATAGTATCGAGAACATATGTTATTATTCTAGTCATTCTCAAAAAACCTTTAGGTTCCTTTTGGTTTGCATAAATAAAGCCCCTTCTAGATAGCGTACAGTCAGAGCCCCTAACTTGTGTTAGATGTGGCACGATTATCTTGGTAGACTCATGTTGGTGCCAAAGTCCAGGGTTTTTTCCAGCCAAATCTAGCAAATTCATTGTTGTCACAACTTTTCTGAAAGTACAAGCAGTAGAAAATAAATGTCAACTTATGGAGTACAAGGTTGATGATTTTGTTTGGGCAACATTAACAATTGTTTTGATCCAAATTCAAGAGCAAATTTTATGTACCTTGAGAAGGATGATCCAATAAACAACTAGTGGAACGACATGAGTACAGGGAAACATCTTAAGGCCTAAATTGACTTTTAGCCCAATCATAGACTACTACCCATTTTTCTGATCAATGGAGTTGGATTTGATCGAAAGACTCCAATTTTTCAAGCATTAACTTTGAGCAACACCTTTCAGCCCTCGCCATTTTTGGCAGATTCTTTCATTAATGGGGTCTAATGGACCTTTTATTACCTTTTATTAAATTATCAAAAAATTAAGGTTTTGTTTTTGTTACTTTTTCAAAATTCTTGCGTAGAGCTTATTTTTATAAATAAAGGCATCTAGGGATAGCCTTTGAGCATTAAAATTCATGTGATATTCTGTCAAACTTTTTCAAATTTTAGTATTTTATGCAAATCATCGAATGTTTGATACTTTTTTCTGGTATTCTTGATTGAATATGCACAGTATTAGAAGGTTGTCCATTTAGGTTTTGTCTGTTCATCCACATATCAGGAGAACTTTTAGCCCTTGTTTGAGATCCATTTTCTCAAAACTCATTTTTAGCCACACATTATCCAATAAAATAATTTTACATGTAAATCGAAAACTTTTCCTTATATTTTACCCACACATTCTCCAAAAAAAAGCACTATACCAAAACACATTTTTCCCCAAAATGGGGCTCAAACAAGAGCTTAATGATGGTAACGCAATCAAAAGTTTTGTAGAATTGACTGGATATACTTCTTCCATTGTTTTGCTTCTATGAGTCAGTAATTATCATTATTTGCAATGTTTATCAAAATGTAGGGAGGGAGACGAGTACCGTCTACGAGAAGTTTGTGAGAGCTTTCTTGGACCTCCTATTGGGATGACTGAAGTTCCATCATCTGATGTGAAGGCAGGAGCATGGGACCCTTATGTACTTGTAAGACCTTTTCATACTCTTTCTTAATTCTTGTAGGTGTTTAAAGTAGTATTTATGTTTCTGGTGATGTAAATTCTTCTAATTTTTGTTGGGTTGTCCATGTCTGCATCATGGTTTTTGTTGCCCCCTGTTTATTATATGAATTTTTATCATTTGATAACTGACCGTCCTGTCTTGGCAGGGGATGAAAAAGCGCAAGCTGCTTCGAGAAGATATTCTTCCAGCTATGGCATCAAACAGAAAAGTTCAAAGGTTGCTCAATGAGTTCATGGATCTCCTATCTGATTATGAGATAACAGAAACAAACTTAGAACAGAAGAATCTTGTACATACAACAGCAGTGGAAGCAACAGATGAAATGAATTCTGCCCTGCCTGCAATAGATAAAAGAATTTCTGTTTCAACAGTAACTAAACAAATGGACTCTGTCCAACAAGCAATAGATCCAAGTGATCCTACCATGAAAAATACCGATCAAACGGACTCCACTCTACCTGTGAACGGTGTAACAGATACCATTTTGCAAGGTACAGAGCAAGTGGAATCCATGCTATTGCTACCAATGCCCGAGAAAATGAATTTGGACCCCCCTGCCTCTGAGCAGATAGATTCAGAAGCAAAAGAGAAGGATTCTTGATCTTAGAATTGTGTCAGGTGATAGTGAACGTTAGAAATACTAACCTTTTAGTAATCATTTTATGGAGTGTGTATTTTAGTTTTGTCCTCGGGCTTTCTTGCGTATGGTGCATTCTTATTCCGGGGACTCAAAGCTTCCATTTTGTTGATTTGTACTGTTCAAGCTGTTGAGTTCAAACTATATTCCTAGTGTGTATTTCACAAATTGGAAGCTTTTGTAGACTACATGTTTTCTTGAACTAAGTAGGGTGACTTGTTTCTTGTACAATATGATGTTAGTTTTTGCCATCTTGAGATAAATGTAAAGTTTATTGGCCGTTTTGGGGTTATTCATCTCCAATAGGTTGTAAAATAATTTTCTTCATTTTCTTTTTGTTATATCATCTTCTGGTTCCAACTGTTAGATAGATTGCTCGATTTTGGATTTTTATGATTTCATGTTAATTTTGAACATGGGAGTTCCAAATTCCTATCAACTCAGTAATATGAATATTTCATATGAGCCTACATTCATTTCTGCGTTTTAGCTATCTGTGTGTGCCTTCATATTTTTCTTGAAATGTTTTGATCCAATTACACAGTGAATGGTCAAGTGTGAATATGAACGCTTTACTAGAAATTATCATGACAATGCAGGAAAAAAATAAAAATTTGGTACATGTTTTTGTTTATTTGGTGTCATTGGGTTATATTTCTCTGCAATTAATGTTTATATAAAAATTCGTAGCTAAAACATAATAAAGATGGTTTTGTAAAATGTATTCTAGCAATTTATTTATTTATTTTTTTTCTAAAACTTAAAAAGGTCTATATCTTAGGTTAAGAATGAAATTAATAATATGCCACAAAATTAAATCAAAAAATTGAACTTAGAAATTGGGTTAGGTTGGGTTGGACTAGTTAGGCATGAACTTGACTTGGGAGTTAGAACATTAATAACTAAATTAGTTAATTTGCTAATTTGTTTAGAAAAAAATAAAAAAATTAATTAATTTAATATAAAAAATTAAAAAATTTATTTAAATTCGGTTCTTATTCGATTTTTGGGTTCTTCGACTCTGGGTCTAGAACCAAGAATCGAACAGAACCGAACTCATCGATTCTCGATTTAAATATTCGTTCGGGTATTTAACTTATGAAGAACCGCTCGATTCGATTCAGTTCGGTTAAGATCCGATTCAATTCGAAAGTTTTATCTAGCCTTAGCCTTAGTTTACGTGACGCAATATGAGATGGCGTGTGGAAGGATGCAGATGAAGCATAAAAATCAAATATTTGATATTCTTTATTTTATCTCTGATTTCACCTTTTTAATTTATTGTCTATATGAAAGACTATAAATAGGGTTATTTTCTCATTTTTAATTGAGGGGTTTTTTTTTTGTAGGATTTTATTATTTAAGCAAAAATTAGGATTTTATTTTAGGGTGGTTTGTTGAAATATTCTAGATTCAGTTCCAATATCATATTACACAGCTTCCACATGCTCTTCTCCAGAAGTAACACAGGCTGCTTTCTTCCAGATCCTTCACCAGCACATGCTTTATTCTAAATCCTTTTTTAGTTTGTTATGTAGTTAGGAATTCACTTTATAAATAAAGTTATGTATTTCATGTTTTACTTGAACTTGATGAATAAATAAATTCTCCTTCTATCATCAGTTCCTTCAATGTGAGTTTTCATATTGAATCTATTTTTCAATTTCAGTTTATGATTTCAATTCATGTTCTGCTGGTGTTTCATTTTCTTCTTGCTAGTTCATGTTTTCTGCTAACCTGTGCTGCTGTTGAATCTATCATTTTAATTTTTCTACATGGTATTGGAGCAAATGCTCCTTCCGTCTGCAATTTTGTTTCTTCCGCCTTCTCAAATTTGGAATGAAGAAATCTGCTCAAATTTGATCAGATATTCAATATTTTCCTGATGATTTGTCCACCAAGGTGAGGAGTTGTGGAGCTGAGAAATTTGATGTTTCAGTTAACTACTGCAAGTCAGGTGCTAGCAAGAGTATTCTGGAACATGATGCACTTGATATTAATTTGGCTTGCTCGAAGCATTTCTCGATCTGCAGCTTTCTGGATGATGGGCTTTCCTTCAAGGTGTTTGACAAAAGTTCCCACTGGCGAGAGGGATTACACTGGTGGTTTTACTTCCAATCATTGCTGGAATTATTTTGCATTTCCAATTTTTCTTTCATTCATCAATGGTGATGAAGTTTTTATTCGGCAAATCCCCGGTAGAGCCATGGATGCTCTTTTCCGATTGAAGTATATTGCTATTTTTTCCCCCTCTAAAGTGCTTCTCTTTTCAATCCAGGCGTCTCTCCTACATCTCTGCTATTCCCTCTNATTTTTAATTGAGGGGTTTTTTTTTGTAGGATTTTATTATTTAAGCAAAAATTAGGATTTTATTTTAGGGTGGTTTGTTGAAATATTCTAGATTCAGTTCCAATATCAGATTACATGGCTTCCACATGCTCTTCTCCAGAAGTAACACAGGCTGCCTTCTTCCAGATCCTTCACCAGCACATGCCTTATTCTAGATCCTTTTTTAGTTTGTTATGTAGTTAGGAATCACTCTATAAATAAAGCTATGTACTTCATGTTTTACTTGAACTTGATGAATAAATAAATTTTCCTTCTATCATCAGTTCCTTCAATATGAATTTTCGTATTGAATCTATTTTTCAATTTCAGTTTATGATTTCAGTTCATTTTCTGCTGGTGTTTCATTTTCTTCCTGCTTGTTCATGTTTTCTGCTAATCCGTGCTGCTGTTGAATCTATCATTTTAATTTTTCTAAAACCATAAACAGAAGAAAATCCCCAATTCATCTTATTCCAACCCTCGTGAAGAACATCCCAAATCNTCATTTAATAATTAGTACCCCTTTGGCATCATTGACATAACATGTCGTTTCTAATCTATCTCTTCATGTTTAGTATTATAGTTCGATCCAACTTAAATAATAATTCAGTTACGTGCGGAATTGTAATTTTTTTTGGTTCCAATATGGACCTTAATGACATTGTTATATATCATCAACATTCCACAATGAGACTCATATTTATTTAAGATAATTACAATAACATACTCTCTAAGTGTTAATTGGTCGGTAATACCATTTGCGATAGTATCACTTGCTATCAATAATTGCATGTTTGTTCGGCAAAAAATTGAATTTCTTGTAGCAAGGGTAAGTAATAATGGCGTTGAGAATTATTTCTTACTATTCGTGAGTACGGCGATCGTGTTTGGGGGTATATATCCAATCACCTACTCTTGTTTTCAAACCACAATTAAGATGAAATTTACATCGAAATTGAATAAAATACAACTATTTACAGCATGACCTTCAACGAATGTAGTACAAATTCTAAACAACGTGAGAGAAAAAAACGTTTACAAAGCCAAATTTCAAGTGACATAGTCCAGATCATACTTATTATTTTTTCGTCTCTATGGTTGCTTAATTAGGCACGACTTTGAGATATTTACATGTAGCTCATAATTGCTATCTATACGAATCATTTGGTTCACGTTGATAATTACTTGGAAAATCGGCGCAAATAGTGTGTAAATGGTTCCGAACCTTTTCAATTTTGATGTAAATGGTTATTTGTATGGTTTCTATCTATGAGAACTATTAGTTTGGTCTCTGGAATACAATTGACAATGTTTTATGAATCATGCTTCATGTGCAGGGTATGAGTTCTGTACATGGTCGATAACTCACACATGGGGGGAGGGGGGCTGGGTAATTTTTTTTTTTTTTACTTTTTTATTGAGAGGGTGTGGGGCCCTTGTACATTTGGCTTAATTCTTTATATATATATTTCAAAGACCAAGTAGATGGAAACGTTCAAAAGGACCATTTGTGCCAAAATTGAAAATGCATGGCACCATTTGCACTATGTTTGAAAGGTTTGGACCAATTGCACAATATTAGGAAAGGTATAGGACCATTTGTGCCAACTTTCTTCCTAACTTATAAAACCTACTTCAATCCACAAAATATTCCTGAAGCAGCGAGACTTGTATGTTTGGGAAGTGTTGATAAACAATTTTGTTTATAAGTAGATATAAATAAGTGATACTTCATTCGTTCCATTTATATATGCTGGTTTTGTTTTTCATACAAATTATTAAATCTTATTTAAAAAACAATTTTTGTAAAAAAATTTCTTGTTTAGCCTTATTTAATTATCAACAATTAGTAGTGAATTATTGTTGGAAGTAGTAAAGAAATTGAATAATTTAATTTTCAACAACTAGGTATATTCATATTTGTACAGTTTCAAAATTGATTATAACCAGACAAATTAAATAAGGGTATATTAATAATAATAAAAAAAACATTCTCAATAAAGAAACAAAACTATATAATTATGATATTAAAATAAGGAAAGTCATCTTATATAAATTGGATGAATAGAGCATATAAATGGACAATACTTATAAGTGTGAATAAAAATTAATTTGATTTTTTTTTTTTGATCATTTATAAACAATTCATAAAGACTTACCTAACATATGTCATATATTTATTGTGGATGATAAGTGTCATTTCAAGATGAAACCTATACCTTATTAGTCTGAACCGTGTCCTATCAATTTAATTAGCACAGCAATAATGTCCAAGAAATATGGTGGATGCATTGATTAGATTGGCAGTCCATCAACTAATATATTAAATGATCGAATTCAATAATTTTATTATTCTTCTACGCGTCGGGAATTGGTTAATCCATGAAAGGGAAAATAAGATGTCGCTGTTATTTCGTACTCAATAATAGCAAACCTAAACATGTGACAAACGTAACCTTAATTTACAACTCAATAATGGCTTGTTTGATAACACGGTATAACTAATATATAATTATATTTTGTATTATTTTATTTATGTTTCCAGCATAATTATAATTGGCCAATTGTTCAAATAAATTTGGAAGAAGATGACCAAACCTAGCCACATCACACTGCTTGGTCAAACCCATTACTGT